ATACAGATATATATAGATTATATATAGATTATATAGGGGGATAAGTCTGTTGAGTGTACCTGGTAAAGTGTATGGTAGTTATAATTGAAAGAATTAAGAGTAAGACGGAGAATAGGATAGCAGATGAACAAGGAGGCTTTAGGAAAGGTAGGGGGTGTGTGGACCAGGTGTTTACAGTGAAACATATAAGTGAACAGTATTTAGATAAGGCTAAAGAGGTCTTTGTGGCATTTATGGATTTGGAAAAGGCGTATGACAGGGTGGATAGGGGGCAATGTGGCAGATGTTGCAAGTGTATGGTGGGAGGAGGTAGGTTACTGAAAGCAGTGAAGAGTTTTTACGAGGATAGTGAGGCTCAAGTTAGAGTATGTAGGAAAGAGGGAAATTTTTTCCCAGTAAAAGTAGGCCTTAGACAAGGATGTGTGATGTCACCGTGGTTGTTTAATATATTATAGATGGGGTTGTAAGAGAAGTAAATGCGAGGGTCTTGGCAAGAGGCGTGGAGTTAAAAGATAAAGAATCACACACAAAGTGGGAGTTGTCACAGCTGCTCTTTGCTGATGACACTGTGCTCTTGGGGGATTCTGAAGAGAAGTTGCAGAGATTGGTGGATGAATTTGGTAGGGTGTGCAAAAGAAGAAAAATTAAAGGTGAATACAGGAAAGAGTAAGGTTATGAGGATAACAAAAAGATTAGGTGATGAAAGATTGAATATCAGATTGGAGGGAGAGAGTATGGAGGAGGTGAACGTATTCAGATATTTGGGAGTGGACGTGTCAGCGGATGGGTCTATGAAAGATGAGGTGAATCATAGAATTGATGAGGGAAAAAGAGTGAGTGGTGCACTTAGGAGTCTGTGGAGACAAAGAACTTTGTCCTTGGAGGCAAAGAGGGGAATGTATGAGAGTATAGTTTTACCAACGCTCTTATATGGGTGTGAAGCGTGGGTGATGAATGTTGCAGCGAGGAGAAGCTGGAGGCAGTGGAGATGTCATGTCTGAGGCAATGTAGTGGTGTGAATATAATGCAGAGAATTCGTAGTTTGGAAGTTAGATAGGAGGTGCGGGATTACCAAAACTGTTGTCCAGAGGCTGAGGAAGGGTTGTTGAGGTGGTTCGGACATGTAGAGAGAATGGAGCGAAACAGAATGACTTCAAGAGTGTATCAGTCTGTAGTGGAAGGAAGGCGGGGTAGGGGTCGGCCTAGGAAGGGTTGGAGGGAGGGTTAAAGGAGGTTTTGTGTGCGAGGGGCTTGGACTTCCAGCAGGCATGCGTGAGCGTGTTTGATAGAGTGAATGGAGACAAATGGTTTTTAATACTTGACGTGCTGTTGGGGTGTGAGCAAAGTAACATTTATGAAGGGATTCAGGGAAACCGGCAGGCCGGACTTGAGTCCTGGAGATGGGAAGTACAGTGCCTGCACTCTGAAGGAGGGTGTTAATGTTGCAGTTTAAAAACTGTAGTGTAAAGCACCCTTCTGGCAAGACAGTGATGGAGTGAATGATGGTGAAAGTTTTTCTTTTTCGGGCCACCCTGCCTTGGTGGGAATCGGCCGGTGTGATAATAAAAAAAAAAAAAAAATATATTTATATATTATATATATATTTTATATATATATATATATATTTTATATATATATTATTTGTATATATGATATAATATAGATATATATAATATTATATTATATATTAATATAGATATGTTTTTTTTCTTTTTTTTTTTTTTTTCCCCCCAAAAAGGGTTGGTCGTCTCCCCCCGAGGCAGGGTGACCCAAAAAAGAAAGAAAATCCCCCAAAAAGAAAATACTTTCTCATCATTTAACACTTTCACCACACTCACACATTATCACTGCTTTTGCAGAGGTGCTCAGAATACAATAGTTTAGAAGCATATACGTATAAAGATACAAAATTATCCCCTCCAAACTCCCAATATCCCAAACCCCTCCTTTAAAAAGTGCAGGCATTGTACTTCCCATTCCAGGACTCAAGTCCGACTATATGAAAATACTGGTTTCCCTGAATCCCTTTCACTAAATATTACCCTGCTCACACTCCAACAGATCGTCAGGTCCCACAAGTATCCTTCGTCTCCATTTCACTCCTATCTAACACGCTCATGCAACGCTTGCTGGAAGCCCCAAAAGCCCCTCGCCCCCAAAACCCTCCTTTACCCCCTCTTTCCAACCCTTTCCCGAGGACGACCCCTACCCCTCTTTCCTTCCCCTATAGATTATTGCTTTCCATGTCTTTTCTACTTTGATCCATTCTCCTAAATGACCAAACCACCTAAAACAACCCCTCTTCTGCCCATGACAAATGCTTTTATTAACTCCACACCTTCTCCTAATTTCCACACTCCAAATTTTCTGCATAATATTTAACCACACATTGCCCTTAGACAGGACATCTCCACTCCCTCCAACCGTCTCCCTCGCTGATGCATTTACCCCCCAAAGCTTCACATCCATAAAGAGTTTTGGTACTACTATACTTTCATACATTCCTTCTTTGCCTCCATAGATAACGTTTTTTGACTCCACATAATACCCCAAAGCACCAATCACCTTTTTTCCCCCATCAATTCTACGATTAACCTCATCCTTCATAAATCCATCTGCCGAAACGTCAACTCCCAAGTATCTGAAAACATTCACTTCTTCCATACTCTCCTCCCCAATTTGATATCCAATTTTTCTTTATCTAAATCATTTGATACCCTCATACCTTACTCTTTTCTATGTTCACTTTCAACTTTCTACCTTTACACACATTCTCAAACTCATCCACTAACCTTTGCAATTTTTCTTTAGAATCTCCCATAAGCACAGTATCATCAGCAAAAAGTAACTGTGTCAATTCCCATTTTGAATTTGATTCCCCATAATTTAATCCCACCCCTCTCCCAAACACCCTAGCATTTACTTCTTTTACAACCCCATCTATAAATATATTAAACAACCATGGTGACATTACACATCCCTGTCTAAGACCTACTTTTACTGGGAAGTATTCTCCCTCTCTTCTACACACCCTAACCTGAGCCTCACTATCCTCAAAGGTTAGTGGATGAGTTTGAGAATGTGTGTAAAGGTAGAAAGTTGAAAGTGAACATAGAAAAGAGTAAGGTGATGAGGGTATCAAATGATTTAGATAAAGAAAAAAATTTGGGTATCAAATTTGGGGGGAGTAGTATGGGGAAAAAGTGAATGTTTTCAGATACTTGGGAGTTGACGTGTCGGCGGATGGATTTATGAAGGATGAGGTTAATCATAGAATTGATGAGGGAAAAACGGTGAGTGGTGCGTTGAGGTATATGTGGAGTCCAAAAAACGTTATCTATGGAGGCAAAGAAGGAATGTATGAAAGTATAGTAGTACCAACAACTTATTGGATGTGAAGCTTGGGTGGTAAATGCAGCAGCGGGGGGAACGGTTGGAGGCAGTGGAGATGTCCTGTCTAAGGGGAATGTGTGGTGTAAATATTATGCAGAAAAATTCGGAGTGTGGAAATTAGGAGAAGGTGTGGAGTTAATAAAAGCATTAGTTTGAGGGCAGAAGGGGGTTGTTGAGGTGGGTTTGGTCATTTAGAGAAAGGATCAAGTTTTGAATGACATGGAAAGCATATAAATCATGGGAAGGAAAAATAGGGGTCGTCCTCGAAAGGGTTGGAAAGAGGGGGTAAAGGGGTTTTGTGGGCGAGGGCTTGGACTTCCAGCAAGGGTGCATGAGCGTGTTAGATAGGAGTGAATGGAGACGAATGATACTTGGGACCTGACGATCTGTTGGAGTGTGGGCAGGATAATATTTAGTGAAGGGATTCAGGGAAACCGGTTATTTTCATATAGTCGGACTTGAGTCCTGGAAATGGGAAGTACAATGCCTGCACTTTAAAGGAGTGGTTTGGGATATTGGCAGTTTGGAGGGATATGTTGTGTATCTTTATAAGTATATGCTTCTAAACTGTTGTATTCTGAGCACCTCTGCAAAAGCAGTGATAATGTGTGAGTGTGGTGAAAGTGTTGAATGATGATGAAAGTATTTTCTTTTTGGGGATTTTCTTTCTTTTTTGGGTCACCCTGCCTCGGTGGGAGACGACCGACTTGTTGAAAAAAAAAAAAATATATATATATATATATACAGTGGACCCCCGCATAACGATTACCTCTGAATGTGACCAATTATGTAAGTGTATTTATGTAAGTGCGTTTGTACGTGTATGTTTGGGGGTCTGAAATGGACTAATCTACTTCACAATATTTCTTATGGGAACAAATTCGGTCAGTACTGGCACCTGAACATACTTCTGGAGTGAAAAAATATCGTTAACCGGGGGTCCACTGTATATATATACATGCATGTGTAGTGTGACCTAAATGTAAGTAGAAGTAGCGAGACGTACCTGAAACCTTGCATGTTTATGAGACGGAAAAAAGACAACAGCAATCATACCATCGTGTAAAATTACAGGTTTCCGTTTCACACTCATTTGGCAGGACGGTAGTGCCTCCTTGTGTTGTTGCTGTCTACCAGCCTACTACCTAGGTGATCTTCTATATTTTGGGTAATTTATTAGTAGAGGTTTTGAATGGTGCATCAAATATTCTGATCACCTGATGATATACTCCTAACGAAAAAATTAATACATGTAATTCTTTGAATTTCGATAGTCCAAGTTTGTATTTTGCTCCGAAACTTATATAGTTACTTAACTTTGATGGGTTTGAGAGTTTTCCTATTTCGTTCCCAGGCCCTAGGCCAGGCTTGTCTGGTGTTTACTAGTCAACCAAACTACTGCTGCTGGTGGCCCAATGGCCCACTTATCCATTACAACCTGGTTAATCTGGCATATAACCTACACTCGGTGAAATTTGCATACATTAATTTAAAATAACTTGATTTACCTACCCTTTACAAGCATTTGTATGTATAACTATATTTCCAAGTTTTTCTTGGAGAGAAGAATGTTCAGGTTGTCCTGATACTCTGTAATAATTCTTCAGGTACCAGGTGCTGAAGGTCGGGCTGGAATGGCAGCAGTTGTTGACCCAGAGGGTGAGCTTAACCTACAGAGCTTTAAAGAGGGCATCAAGGAGGCCTTACCATCTTATGCTTGTCCACTCTTTCTAAGAGTACTGCAGGAAATTGATGTTACAGGTGAGAGTGTGTGTATGAGGCACGTATATAGATGCTGTTCTAACCATTATTCCAGCCGAGTTGTTAAGAGCTTATACAGAAGCTCGTTTTGAACTTTTGTGTAACAGAATCTTGTTATATCCTGTGTTGTCATTTTTAGGGAGATTCCTCAGATATTAACGATTTTCTCCTTTTTTTTCGTTTGAAGAAGACTTGTGTTATGTCTTTGTTGTAAGAACACATTCCAAATTCTAGTCAGTTAAACTTAAGTAATTATAGTGGCAACATGTCTTAAGCCTCATCAACCTGCATTGCTAATAAGGACTTCCTAGCATCTCTGTAATTTTTTTTTTTTAACACACCGGCCATTTCCCATTTCCCAGGCAGGATGACCCAAAAAGAAAGAAAAAAAAATTTCATCATTCAACACTGTCACAGTCACTCATACATAATCACTGTGTTTGCAGAGGAGCTCAGATACGACAGTTTAGATGTCCCTCTGAGCTGCCAATATCCCAAACTCCTCCCTTAAAGTGCAGGCATTGTACTTCCCATTTCCAGGACTCAAGTTCGGCTAACTAGTTTCCCTAAATACCTTCACAAAATATTACTCTGCTCACATTCCAGCAGCTCTTCAGGTCCCAAAAACCATGTCTCTTTTCACTCCTATTTAAAATGCTCATACACACTTGCTAGAAGTCCAAACCCCTCACCCACAGAACCTTTACCACCTCTCTCCAACCTTTTCGAGGGCGACACCTACCCTACCTTCCTTCCCCTACAGTTTTATACGCTACAGATTTATTCCCCTACAGATTTGTGTGTTCCATTCTCTCTAAATGACCAAACCATCTCAACAACCCCTCTTCAGCCCTCTTGACTAATACTTTTAGTAACTCCACACCTTTTCCTAATTTCCACACTATGAATTCTCTGCACATAATTTACACCACGTATTGCCCTTAGACACGACACCTCCACTGCCTCCAGCCTCTTCCTCGCTGCAGAATTTACAGCCCATGCTTCACACCCATATAAAAGTATTGGTACCACTATACTCTCGTACATTCCCTTCTTTGCCTCCACGGATAACGTTTTTTGCCACCACAGATACCTCAATGTACCACTCACCTTTTTTTTCTTTATCAGTTCTATGGTTAAACTCATTTGCTAACAAGTCAACTCCCAAATATCTGAAAACATTCACTACTTCTGTACTCCCTCCCTCCAGTGTGATCTCCAATTTTTCTTTATCTAAATTGTTTGATACCCTTATCATCTTACTCTTATCTGTGTTCACTTTTAACTTTCTACCTTTACACATCCTTCCAAACTCGTCTACTATTTGTATTTAAACTTCCATCAGTATTCCCTTGTTCCTGGTTCTCACTTTCTTAGTCTGTCCCTGTCCTCCCTCTCAATTCCTGAATAAGAATAAGTTCATTTCAGCTTGATACATGTTTGTACAAAGGAGTATAACAATTGGATGTACATATCAAAAGCCCCTTTATATGTAGAGATGTACTTTGTACATCTTAATTGCAGTACTAATTTTTTTTTATTATTTTTTTTTTTATTTATCAAGTTGGCCGTCTCCCACCGAGGCAGGGTGACCCAAAAAGGAAGAAAATCCCCAAAAAGAAAATTACTTTCATCATCATTCAACTCATTCACCTCACTCACACATAATCACTGTTTTTGCAGAGATGCTCAGAACACAACAGCTTAGAAGCATATACGTATAAAGATACAAAACACATCCTTCCAAACTGCCAATATCCCGAACCCCTCCTTTAGAGTACAGGCATTGTACTTCCCATTTCCAGGACGCAAGTCCGGCTATATAAAAATAACCGGTTTCCCTGAATCCCTTCACTAAATATTACCCTGCTCACACTCCAACAGATCGTCAGGTCCCAAATACCATTCGTCTCCATTCACTCCTATTGAACACGCTCACGCACGCCTGCTGGAAGTCCAAGCCCCTCGCCCACAAAACCTCCCTTACCCCTTCCTTCCAACCTTTTCGAGGACGACCCCTACCCCGCCTTCCTTCCCCTACAGATTTAAATGCTCTCCATGTCATTCTACTTTGATCCATTCTCTCTAAATGATCAAACCACCTCAACAACCCCTTTTCAGCCCTCTGACTAATACTTTTATTAACTCCACACCTCCTAATTTCCACACTCCGAATTTTCTGCATAATATTTACACCGCACATTGCCCTTAAACAGGACATCTCCACTGCCTCCAACCGCCTCCTCACTGCTGCATTCACAACCCAAGCTTCACACCCATATAAGAGTGTTGGTACTAATATACTTCCATACATTCCCTTCTTTGCCTCCATAGATAATGTTTTTTGTCTCCACATATACTTCAACGTACCACTCGCCTTTTTTCCCTCGTCAGTTCTATGATTAACCTCATCCTTCATAAATCCATCCGCCGACACATCCGCTCCCAAGTATCTGAAAAAATTCACTTCTTCCATACTACTCCTCCCCAATTTGATATCCAATTTTTCTTTATCTAAATCATTTGATACCCTCATCACCTTACTCTTTTCTATGTTCACTTTCAACTTTCTACCTTTACACACACTCCCAAACTCATCCACTAACCTTTGCAATTTTTCTTTAGAATCTCCCATAAGCACAGTATCATCAGCAAAAGCAACTGTGTCAATTCCCATTTTGTATTTGATTCCCCATAATTTAATCCCACACCTCTTCCAAACACTCTAGCATTTACTTCTTTTACAACCCCATCTATAAATATATTAAACAACCATGGTGACATTACACATCCCTGTCTAAGACCTACTTTTACCGGGAAGTAGTCTCCCTCTCTTCTACACACCCTAACCTGAGCCTCACTATCCTCATAAAAACTCTTTACAGCATTTAGTAACTTACCACCATTCCATATACTTGCAACATCTGCCACATTGCTCCCCTATCCACTCTATCATATGCCTTTTCTAAATCCATAAATGCAATAAAAACTTCCCTACATTTATCTAAATACTGTTCACATAAATGAATTATGAGTACAAAAGCAAAAAGTACCAATTAAAGATCCGATAAATAAGATGAGGGAAATTCGGGGAAGGAGATTCCTGCAAAGCAAAGATGGATGATAGTTAACTGAATGATCCCTTATTGGTTTGTAAACAAACTGAAGGACAACATAATTTTCTTACTGCATTTATGGAAACAGCCAACATGTTGAAAAAAAAATGGATTTATTATGCCTTTCATTATTTGCGGTATATTATTGACATTCAGAATAATTAACTTTGCCTAACCTAATTTAACCTAACATTTAGGGCAAGGAGGAATAACGTAGGAGTGAGGAGGAGCGAGTTGTGAGTGTGGGGGGGGGGGGGAAGTTCGTGAGGCAGTGGTAGAATGAAAGGGGATAAAGCAGCTAGAATTGATGGGATAATGTTAGAAATGTTAAAAGCAGGTGGGGATATAGTTTTGGAGTGGTTGGTACTTTTATTTAATAAATATATGGAAGAGGGTAAGGCACCTAGGGATTGGTAGAGAGCATGCATAGTTCCTTTATATAAAGGCAAAGGGGACAAAAAATAATGCAAAAATTATAGGGTAAGAAGTCTGTTGATATACCTGGTAAAGTGTATGGTGGAGTTATTATTGAAAGAATTAGGAATAAGATGGAGAATAGGATAGCAGATGAACAAGGAGGCTTTAGGAAGGGTAGAGTGTGTGTAGACCAAGTGTTATAAGAGGTTATAAGAGAAGTGAATGCTCGGTTGTTGGCAAGAGGTTTGGGGTTAAAAGACAAAGAATCTAACACAAAGTGGAAGTTGGCACAGTTGTTCTTTGCTGATGACACTACTTTTGGGAGATTCTGAAGAGAATTTGCAGAGGTTGGTGGATAAGCTCGGTAAGGTATGTAAAAGAAGAAAATTGAAAGTCAGTATAGGAAAAAGTAAGATGATGAGGATAACAAAAAAATTAGGTAATGAAAGATTGGATATCAGGTTGGAGGGAGAGAGTATGGAGGAGGTGAATGTATTCAGATGTTTAGAAGTGGACCTGTCAGCAGATGGGTCTATGAAAGATGAGGTGAATTATAGAATTGACAAGGGGAAAAAGGTGAGTGGTGCACTGAGAAGTCTGTGGAGACAAAGAACTTTGTCCATGGAAGTAAAGAGGAGAATGTATGAGAGTATAGTTATACCAATGCTCTTCTATGGATGTGAAGCATGGGTGGTGAATGTTGCAACAAGAAGAAGGCTGGAGGCAGTGGAGATGTCATGTCTGAGGGCGATGTGTAGTGTGAATATAATGCAGAGAATTCGTAGTTTGGAAATTAGGAGGTGCGGGATTACCAAAATTATTATCCAGAGGGCTGAGGAGGGGTTGTTGAAGTGGTTCAGACATGTTGAGAGAATTGAACAAAATAGAATGACTTTGAGAGTGTATAAATCTAGTGGAGAGAAAGCAGGGTAGAGGTCAGGATAGGAAGGTTGGAGGGAGGGGGTAAAGGAAGTTTTCTATGCGAGGGGCTTGGACTTCCAGCAGGCATGTGTAAGTTTGTTAGATAGAGACTGGTTTTTAGGACTTGACGTGCTGTTGGAGTGTGAGCAGGGTAATATTTATGAATGGATTCAGGGAAACTGGCAGGCCAGACTTGAGTCCTGGAGATGGGAAGTACAGCGCCTGCACTCTGAATAAGACGTGTTAATGTTGCAGTTTTATAAGTGTAGTGTAAGCACGCCTCTGATGGAGTGATGGAGTGGATGATGGTGAAAGTTTTTCTTTCTCTTTCCACCCTACCTTGGTGGGAAACAGCTGATGTGCTAATAAAAACAACTTGAGGAGGGAGGATTAGCACATTCTGTAGCAGTGCCTGACCAAGTCTTTTTGGAATCTAATCAGGTTTCCCTAGAGCCTGATCAGGGAGCCCCCCCCCCCGTGGTACCTGACTAGGTCTGACCATGGTTTCCTGGTACCTGACCATCATATATGATGGAACTGGCTACATCATTATTAAATTTATCTGTGCATTTAAGATTAAATGCATTTAACAAGTGTGGTTTTTGCCTTTGTTTCAAGATGTAAGGATATCATCCTTCTAAAAGTATTACTTATGAATAGGCCATCCTCATAGTTTTTCTTAAAAATTTGGCATTGAAACCTTGACCTGTGCTTGGCTATGTGTAGTATATAGATATATTAACTAGACAAGCCATCAAAAGAGGACTGAACCAAAATATAAAATTATTCAGAATTTGAAAGCTACATTAAGAAAAAGTAAGGAATAAAAACAGCTTTTTGTATGGAATGGCAGTCAGGATTGTGGAGTTGGAGTCGTGGAGTCGGAAGCAATTCTTAGGTTATTGGAGTCGGAGCCGGTGAAAATGTACTGTCTCCAACCCTTAATATATTTAAATTGTATAGAAAATAAATTAAAAAATACTTTAATCTGGAAATGGAAGGGTTATGTACCTAATGAGGTCATTTCTTTTCAAATGGTTATTAAGTTGTTATAAGTGTTCAATTGCTTTTTGCTTTTTTTGTAGTTTTAACTTTGAATTCTTTTTAGTAATATCGAAGGATGTACTTCAGATTTTTTAACTATTAGAGAAAGATGTTTCTGACTCAAGATTTTCTTTTATAGTTTCTTTTACATCCTATTAATTTATACTTGATAGTCTTTTTATGAAAATATAACCTCATTGTTCCCCTTTTTCAAGTTTTGTCTTTTGTTTAACTATAAGGTTGCTAAATCTTTGTAATTTCTTTAATAAATATAATAAAAAGCCAGAGTGGCATAGCTATAGCATTTAAAGCCAAGCTTTACCAGATTACTGAGCTTGTATGTTGCATGCTTGCAATCTGTATATAATTTAGTTTATTTAAAATTTATTCCCTGTATCAATATATAATTAAAGGAGTCAGAGTTGGAAGTGCCATAAATAAAGGAGTCGGAGTTGGACTCAAAAGTTTTATATGCCGACCCCACAGCCCTGGTAGTAATACCAGTTCTACTTATGAATTGCAAATCTGGAAAAGTGCATGGAATAAAAAGGAACAGACAAATATACAATGAAAAAATAAGGAAAACCACAGAGATAAGCAGAGTTACTGAAGTTTTATATAAGGTGTATTAAAATTTTATGAGACACATTTGCTCATATTTAAAAAACTTGTATTGGATGAGGTATAGTCACCTCTTCAATCTTGAGAAGGTTTTTAATCTTTCATTGTTTTATCAAATTTTCATTTCATATTTCAGGCACTTTTAAGCTGAAGAAATTGTCACTGCAGAAGGAAGGCTTTAATCCCACCATCATAAAAGACAAGCTTTATTTTTTTGATGCCAAACTTGGGAAGTATGTAGAACTTACTGTTGAACTCTTCAACAAAATTGACAGAGGACAAGCTGGCTTGTAAAAGCACTTTTGAAAAATATTTCATCTCATTTCTAAACTTTTTTTTCTTTTTTAATTTGAATTTTGAAGTTTATGTACTTCCAGTAAGACAGCTGTTGAATGAACACTGGTGAATGTTTTCCTCTTTGGGGTCACCCTACCTTGCTGGGTAATAGTCTATGAATTGATTACTAAAAAACATGAAAGAAATTTTAAAGTTGTTTCAATTTACATGAATATAGTACAGACGATGAAAAAAATAGATTTTTAACATTATAAATGAAGGGACGCTCGATATCCTGGCACTAAGCAAAGCAAAGTTAAAAGGGGTGAGAGAATATCATTGGGAATGAGTAAATGGAGTTAAATCAGGTGTCTGGGAGAACTAGAACTAATGATGGGATAGCGGTACTGTTAAATGATCAGCTAGAGAGAGGAGGGGGTATAGGTGTTTGAAGTTCAAGAATTATATGGATTAGAACAAAAATGGGTTGAGATATGGATTATAGTAAGTGTTTATGCACCTAGTGGGTGAAACAATTAAGTGAATGTAACCTAAAGGGTTTTGAACCAAGGGAATAATTGCTAAGTGAAAGAGACTTCTAGACGGCTTAGTAGATAAGTTTATAGTTCCGGGGATAAATGATAAGGGGGCCTCTAATGAAATTATATATAGAAAATGTTTAATAATAGGTAATACTGTACTTATTTTAAGGAAAAGATTGATAAATAAGTAAATATGATATAGTGTTCAGTTACAACAGTTAAAGGACTATGAGACTAGAGAGGTAAATCATGGAATAGGATAGAAAAAAAGGTGGATGGAGTGTTGAGGCATCTGTGAAAGGAAGAGAATTTTTCTATCGAGTCAGAAAAAAAAAAAAAAAAAGGCATGGGCTTTATGGTGTGAGTATTATGCTGAGAACATGAAACCTACAATTAGAAGACAGTGCGGAGTTAATCAAAGTGTAATTCAGTATGCAAAGAACGGTGGGGCTAATGTGGTTTGGGCAATTAGCTGATGGAGTAGAATAGGATGACAAAGAGGGAGTATAAACCTGGGGTGGAAGGAAAAAGGGATAGGCGTCATCCCAGGAAGGGCTGGAGGGAGGGTGTAGAGGTAGCTTAGAATGCTAGGGGGTTGAGCATCCAGCAGGCTTGTGTGAGCATGTTAAATTGGCGTAAGTGAAGATACAGGTCCGCCATCACTAATCCGGCATCATTGGGACCTGTAGTGTGCCGGTTTAGTGCATTTGCATGATTACAGAGTGGTTAGATTAGAATACGCTTAATTAACATATCAGTAGAGAGACTTTCCGCTGCATCTTCCTCAACTTCATCACTGCTTTCTCCTCCACTGGCTTGCTGCTGTGGATTTACAGATTTACAACTATCTGCACAATTTCTGAGTCAGTACAGTGATGAAATTTGAGTCAGCATAATAATTAGTCATTATAATAATGAAATTTGAAATTATGCAAGCCGAAATTAGTGCCGGATTACTGATGGGACCAGATAACTGATTGCCGGATTAGTGATGGCTGACCTGTAAATAGTTTTAAATCCTTGATGCTTTGTTTGTGTGCAAGATAACATTTACAATGGGACTCGTAGGAACTAGTTACTGGACTCGAGTCGTGCAGATGGGAATTACAGAACCTGCACTATGAAGAAGTGACAAGGATGTTGCAGTTCTATGGGTAGTTGAGTTGTGATGTCTATGCACTTCTGGTAAGACAGCTGTTGACTGAATTATGGTGAATGTTTTTCCATTTTTAGGTCACCCTGACTTGGTGTGAGACGGTGTATTAAAATACAATGGTTCCTAACCGCTGCATAGAGGTGGACCCCACCTAAGTAAAACCACTGAAAACTAAAAGCATTCTATATTTTAGTAGTCATTATTAAATATTTTTAAACTAGTTGGTGCTAGCAACTCACTATTTGACATAGTAGTATTGCAGTTTGGCTTAGAAGTCTGGTGATAATGACCCTTATTTATATATATATCTATACTGGAAATACCTTGCTGTATATATTGAAGACATGCCACAAAAATTTGCCAAAGCTGTGTTTTATGAATATTTACTAAACTGTACATTGTAAAACAAAATTAATTTACCATGTTTCCTATATGTGGAAGTAGTATTGTACAATATATGTACTAGTTTCTATATCTGAAAAGCATAGGATTTGAAATCATTTAGGAAATGCATGTTTTACTGGATATATACAAAGACTTCCATATATGGGATATTATTTTAATAGTTTTGTTAAGTTGTCCTCTGGGAAGAGGATAGCTATTTGTTAAATGAAAGGCTTGAAGGTACTAATTACAGTACATTATACTGTTCAAGTAGAAAATTAATTGCATGCTCATGCAATACCAAAGCAATAGAAGCTTTAAAAACAGCTAATTCAGTTAAGATGTTTTAAGTATTCAATTATTTGATTTCAACACTGAATGACCCATACTGGTTTAAGTGCTTATTTGTGAAAGCTGAATAATAAAATTATTATATAAAAATAATAGTAATGATAATATTTGATTTATTTATATTTTTTGCATGAAAATTTATTGAAAAATTTGCAGATAACAACAACTTGGGCAAAATATCTTGAGCTCAGTTGAATAAATGATGTAAAATTGAAAATGCAACTCCTGGTTATTGTACGGTAATTATTTTTCAGATAAGCAAAATTTTACATTATATCCCCAAAGATGTATTCATAATGTTAGCTCTTATTGACCCACGTGGTCTTTGCATTTTTTCGTGAATATGGCACAGTGGAACACTGTATGTTTGGACATGGATGGCTCGTATATTTGGAAACTGTTTTGATCCTCAGAAAATAGTTTTAGAATGAGAAAATGAAAGTTCCAAGACAACAGTATAGTGGATCCCTAGCATTAATTCATTCCTGAATATTGTGTGTAAGTTGATTGTTCAGACCTCGGGACCAATTTTCTCATAGGTATCCTTGTTATAATTGGAGAGTCTTTCCCCAAACCATAATATAATTTATGTAATGTCGCCTACTTTTTTAACTAAGAAAAATTGCCCAAAATTTTACATTCAGTACTATTCTGTTTTATTTACAAATACTGTTAAACATTGTTTAATATAGTGAATAGAGCTACATGTTTATTCAGCCAGACTGTCTCAGAGAGAGAGAGAGAGAGAGAGAGAGGGGGGGGGGGGATATATTGTGCTGGTAAGGTAATAGCAATTACATTGTGGTATATGAAATAGGTGGTAAGTTACTAAATGCTGTAAAGAGTTTTTATGAGGATAGTGAGGCTCAGGTTAGGGTGTGTAGAAGAGAGGGAGACTACTTCCCGGTAAAAGTAGGTCTTAGACAGGGATGTGTAATGTCACCATGGTTGTTTAATATATTTATAGATGGGGTTGTAAGAGAAGTAAATGCTAGGGTGTTCAGGAGAGGGGTAGGATTAAATTATGGGGAATTAAATACAAAATGGAAAGTAACACAGTTACTTTTTGCCGATGATACTGTGCTTATGGGAGAGTCTAAAGAAAAATTGCAAAGGTTAGTGGACGAATTTGGGTGTGTGCGTGTAAAGGTAGAAAGTTGAAAGTGAACATAGAAAAGAGTAAGGTGATGAGAGTATCAAATGATTTAGATAAAGAAAAATTGGATATCAAATTGGGGAGGAGGGGTATGGAAGAAGTGAATGTTTTCAGATATTTGGGAGTTGACGTGTCAGCAGATGGATTTATGAAGGATGAGATTAATCATAGAATTGATGAAGGAAAAAAGGTGAGTGGTGCATTGAGCTATATGTGGAGGCAAAAAATGTTATCTATGGAGGCAAAGAAGGGAATGTATGAAAGTGTAGTAGTACCAACACTCTTATATGGGTGTGAAGCTTGGGTTGTAAATGCTGCAGCGAGGAGGCGGTTGGAGGCATTGGAGATGTCCTGTCTAAGGGCAATGTGTGGTGTAAATATTATGCAGAAAATTCGGAGTGTGGAAATTAGGAGAAGGTGTGGAATTAATAAAAGTGTTAGTCAGAGGGCTGAAGAGGGTTTGTTGAGGTGGTTTGGCCATTTAGAGAGAATGGATCAAAGTAGAATGACATGGATAGCATATAAATCTGTAGGGGAAGGAAGGCGGGGGTAGGGGTCGTCCTCAAAAAGATTGGAGGGAGGGGGTAAAGGAGGTTTTGTGGGCGAGGGGTTTGGACTTTCCAGCAAGCGTGCATGAGCGTGTTAGATAGGAGTGAATGGAGACAAATGGTATTTGGGACCTGACGAGCTGTTGGAGTGGGAGCAGGGTAATATTTAGTGAAGGGATTCAGGGAAACTGGTTATTTTATATAACCGGACTTGAGTCCTGGAAATGGGAAGTACAATGCCTGCACTCTAAAGGAGGGGTTTCGGATGTTGACAGTTTGGAGGGATATATTGTGTATTTTTTATACGTATATACTTCTAAACTGTTGTGTTCTGGGCACCTCTGCAAAAACAGTGATTATGTGTGAGTGAGGTGAAGGTGTTGAATGATGTTGAAAGTATTTTTTTGGGGGGGATTTTCTTTATTTTTGGGTCACCCTGCCTCGGTGGGAGACAGCCGACTTGTTGGAAAAAAAAAAAATAGTGAACTCCCGCAACATTACAGTGTTACAGCATTTCATTTATACATCTTTAAGTAATGTTTTAGCTAATTGAAAATTGGCAGTGATGATGTCATCACTTAAGTGATGCTGACAATATTAAAGAAATGTTAATCTCTGTATATATATATCCTTTGTCCATTTAAATACACGTTTGTGATTTTTTCTTGTAGGCAACACTTCGATGTAGGAAGGGTTTGCACACCACATGATTAGTACAACACCAGTCTCATGGCTGTGTGGACAGCTGCCTTATATCACTCGTGGTTTTCAACTTTCATCCTCTGATATTTTCCTTATTTATAGAGCTATGTCATTGAACAGTTTGTCTTACAATTTTTCCAAAGTCAATATTTTGGAGTGAGGATAGTGAGACTCGGGTTAGGGTGTGTAGGAGAGAGGGAGATTATTTCCCAGTAAAAGTAGGTCTTAGACAGGGATGTATGTCACCATAGTTGTTTAACATATTTATAGATGGGGTTGTAAAAGAAGTAAATGCTAAGGTGTTGGGAAGAAGGGTAGGATTAAATTATAGGGAATCAAATACAAAATGGGAGTTGACATAGTTACTACTTTTTGCTCATGATACTGTGCTTTTAGGAGAGTCTAAAGAAAAGTTGCAAAGGTTAGTGGACGAGTTTGGGAGGGTGTGTAGAGGTAAAAAGTTGAAAGTGAACATAGATAAGAGTAAGATGATGAGTGTATTAAATGATTTAGATAAAGAAAAATTGGATATCACATTGGAGGGAGGGAAAATGGAAATGTGAATATGTTCAGAGATTTAGGAGTTGACTTGTCAGCAGATGGGTTTATGAAGGATGAGGTTAACCATAGAATTGATGAAGGAAAAAAGGTGAGTGGTGCTTTGAGGTATCCGAGACAAAAAACATTTTCCATGGAGGCAAATAAGTGAATGTACGAGTGTCTGGTGGTACCAACAGTGCTACCAACACTCTTATATGGGTGTGAAGCATGGGTTGTAAATGCTTCAGCAAGGAGGAGGCTGGAGGCAGATTAGATGTGTCTAAGGGCAATGTGTGGTGTAAATATTATGCAGAGAATTCGTAGTGTGGAAATTAGGAGGAGGTGTGGAGTTACTAAAAGTATTAGTCAGAGGGCTGAAGAGGGGTTGTTGAGGTGGTTTGGTCATTTAGAGAGAATTGATCGAAGTAGAATGACTTGGAGAGCGTATAAATCTGTAGGGGAAGGAAGGCGGGGTAGAGGTCATCATCAAAAAGGTTGGAGAGGAGGATAGGGGTCATCCTCCAAAAGGTTGGAGGGAGGGGGTGAAGGAGGTTTTGTGGGCAAGGGACTTAGTCTTCTAGCAAGCATGCTCGAGCATGTTAGATAGGAGTGAATGGAGACGAATGGTTTTTGGGACCTGACGACCTGTTGGAGTGTGAGCAGGGTAATATTTTGTGAAGGGATTCAGGGAAACCGGTTATTTTTTATATAGCCGGACTTGAGTACTGGAAATGGGAAGTACAATGCCTGCACTTTTAAGGTGGGGTTTGGGATATTGGCAGTTTAGAGGAACATCTAAACTGTTGTGTCTGAGCACCTCTGCAAAGACAGTGATTATGTATGAGTGATGGTGAAAGTGTTGAGTGATGAAATGGCCGACGTGTTAAAAAAAAATTAGGAGTGAATTTATTTTCCCTAATTTTGGGAATTTTTTTTATTGCCACAAATGCATTTTTTGTTTGTTATATTGTCAGAGTTTGTTTTAGCTAATCTTATCAACTGGGATACATTAGGTAAAAAATTAACTAGGAAAAAATATTATAATTCTGCCTTACAACAATCTTAAGTATTAAATCTATAGATGTTGAGGGCTGAAGAGGGGTTGTTGAGGTGGTTTGGTCATTTAGAGAGAATAGATCATAGTAGTATGACATGGAGAGCGTATAAATCTGTAGGGGGTAGGAAGGCGGTGCAGGGGTCATCCTCGAAAAGGTTGGAGGGAGAGGGTAAAGGAAGTTTTGTGGGTGAGGGGCTTGGACTTTCAGCAAGCATGTGTAAATGTGTTAGATAGGAGTGAATGGAGATGAATGGTTTTTGGGACCTGATGAGCTGTTGGAGTGTGAGCAGAGTAATATTTAGTGGGGGGATTCACGGAAACTGGTTCTTTTTATATAGCCAGACTTGAGTCCTGGAAATGGGAAGTACAATGCCTGCACTTTAAAGGAGGGGTTTGGGATATTGGCAGTTTGGAGGGATATATCTTTATATATGCTTCTAAACTGTTGTATCTGGGTGTCTCTGCAAAAACAGTGATTATATATGAGTGAGGTGAAAGTGTTGAATGATGATGAAAGTATTTTCTTTTTGGGGATTTTCTTTCTTTTTGGGTCACCCTGCCTTGGGAGGAGACGGCTGACTTGTTGGAAAAAAAATTTTTGAGCAGTCTCAGTCAAGCTAGTGTGAGCTGTCTATACATGCACAAAATGAACATATATAATTTTTTTTTTTTTTTTTTATCCCCAAAAAGAAAATACTTTCATCATCATTCAATACTTTAACCTCACTCACACATAATCACTGTCTTTGCAGAGGCACTCAGATACAACAGTTTAGAAGCATATATAAGATATCCCTCCAAACTGCCTATATCCCAAACCCCTCCTTCCAAGTGCAGGCATTGTACTTCCCATTTCCAGTACTCAAGTCCGGCTTTATAAAAATAACTGGCTTCCCTTAATCCCTTCACTAAATGCTACCCTGCTCACACACCAACATCTTGTCAGGCCCCTAAAAGTCATTCGTATCCATTCACTCCTATCTACCATGCTCACACATGCTTGCTGGAAGTTCAAGCCCTTCACCCACAAAACCTCCGTTACCCCCTCCCTCCAACCTTTTGGAGGACGACCCCTACCCTGCCTTCCTTCCCCTACAGATTTATATGCTCTCCAATGACCAAACCACCTCAACAACCCCTCTTTAGTCCTCTGGCTAATACTCTTAGTAACTCCACACCTCCTCCTAATTTCCATACTCCGAATTCTCTGCATAATATTTACACCACACATTGCCCTTGGACAGGACATCTCCTCTGCCTGTAGGCACCTCCTCACTGCAGCATTTGCAACCCAAGCTTCACACCTATATAAGAGAGTTGGTAACACTATACATTTGTACATTCCCTTCTTTGGCTCCATGGATGACGTATCCCACTTTGACGGTTTTTTCCTTTTCTTTCTAGTAGGCTATATGGGAAAAGGGGTTACTAGCCCATTGTTCCCGGCATTTTAGTTGACTTTTACAACACGCATGGCTTACGGAGGAAAGATTCTTATTCCACTTCCCCATGGATATGAAAAGAAAAGCAGTAAGAACAAGAACTATTAAGATAAAATCAAAGAAAACTCAGTGATTGTATATACAGTAAATGTGTATATAACCAGACTTGAGTCCTGGAAATGGGAAGTACAATGCCTGCACTCTAAAGGAGGGGTTTGGGATATTGGCAGTTTGGAGGGATATATTATGTATTTTTATACGTATATACTTCAAAACTGTTGTATTCTGGGCACCTCTGCAAAAACAGTGATTATGTGTGAGTGAGGTGAAAGTGTTGAATGATGATGAAAGTATTTTCTTTTTGGGGATTTTCTTTCTTTTTGGGTCACCCTGCCTCGGTGGGAGACGGCTGTCTTGTTGAAAAAAAAAAATGTATGTGTAGTGTGACCTAAGTGTATTTAGAAGTAACAAGATGTACCTGAAATCTTGCATGTTTGAGACAGAAAAAAAAAAAGACACCAGCAGTCCTACCATCATGTAAAACAAATAAAGGCTTTCTTTTTACACTTACTTGGTAGGACGGAAGTACCTTCCTGAATGGTTGCTGTCTACCAACCTACTACCATGAATGAATCCATGTATGAATTCATTTTGTACAAATGAGAAAAAATTATTGTAATTTAGCCTTAGAAGAATTGTAAATATTAAACCTCCAGTTATTTTCCAATCTCAAAGAAATGCAAGTTCTCTGTACACGTATGAAATGCACATAAAGTGTGAAAGGATTTGGTAGAAAAAATGAGAAAATGACATTCAAAATTCAGCCTTAAGTAATTCATAACTAGTCCTGTGTTTTGGAAGTGCAAGTCTGTGTTTGTTAGTCATTAACCCTTTCACTGTCAAGACCCCTGATCTTGAACTCACTCTGTGTCGAAAAATTTAAAAGAAAAATTAATTTATGAAATGATAGAGAATCTTTTCCCGATGGTAATGACACCAAAAGTACGAAATTTGATGGAAAAACTTGTGGAATTACCCTCTCACAGCGAAGTTAGCGATCTCGGCGATATTTACACATCTGTGATTTTGCCCACTTTGAGCCCTCTTTTCAGCCAATTCCATCATTCCAGTCGACCAAACTCATAGCCTTTTTGCTAAAACTCCATTTGTTCTATCAATTGAATGCAAGAAATTGCTCATTGACTGATTTCAGCTACCCAATAAAGTGATCAGGAATTGGTAATTTGGCCAATTTCATACATAATTCAAGTAAGGCCAATTTCAAAATAAGGACCAGAATGAACAATGCAGACATTCCTAGCACTAAAATAACGTCTCTGTTCAAACCATACCACGGGTGGGGTTAGAACCCGCAATCTGGAGTTTTGAGACTGATAGTGGGTTCTAACCCCACCCGTGGTATGGTTTGTTTCCAATTGTGTCATTACAATTTCGTGAGTCACCTTCTCTGTTCATTAATCACGTCTCCAGGCCCCTCTTATATTACGTTTGCTTTCCATTTTGAATTTTTATTCATGCAAAAAATAGAAGATTTACTGTTTTGCAGACTATTGCACTTTTGTAAAAATGGTATAAATAATATCAGCACACTTTTGAAAGAATATTAGACTTACCAGTTCACATGTATTGGGTGCGTGGCGTGATATGTTTGCTCTTGAACATCAGCAAAAATCAAACATTTCCGCTACTTTGAGCTCAATTTCAAAGTACTTTTAGTCCAAAAACCATTCAAAATCAATTCTATTTCTGTAATATATCTTCCACTCTATCAAATGAGACCAAGACAACGAGAATATGGCTATAAATACTATACGAAAATACACTGCAAAGTTAATGTTTGAAACCAAACACACAGTTGGAGTTTTTTTTTTTTTATTATGCACTGCGTGCTGCAGGATTTTTTTTATACAGTGCACACTGACCACTCAGACCCATTCTCTCACATGTAGGTCTACCAGCTTTTGGCGTAGTACTACAGCACCAACACTGGCTTGTAAGCCGTAGTACTACGGCACCAACAGTGAAGGGGTTAACTAGTTAAACAGCCATCCATATATGTTCAGTAGCTTTATATACATTAGACATTTGTGCAGAAATTGCAGAGTTTGTGGGAAAATATAATGGAAGTCTAGTTAGCAGGAAGTGATGGTAATGAACAGGTAGGTGGCAGGTTGTGGATACTTATCTCTTAACATGCATTCTGCTATTAATATTTACGTATGTGCCTTATCAAGTACTGCCATCTAAGTTTTATGTTAAATAAGATTCAAAGATGAAATATTGTCATTAAAGCTGAAAAACTAGAAAACATGGTAGACTTTCACAAGATTCCTGGCATTGCCACATAAACCTACATATTTTAGCACTAATTTTATCACACTTAATTTTCATGTCCTATATCATGTACTAACGTACACAAGGTTTATGGCTATGAATGCTGTCATAATTATACATCATAATTTATGTTCAATGAAGGAATTTTGTTTGAATGAAAACTTCGAAATAAAGACAGACAGCTGATAATGAACGTATTCTGCATCCATGAAGTTTTTGTGTGGCTTGCCCTTCTCCTCCACACACTTCCTCTTAATGCTAAGCCTTACATCATTCTGCACTGTTAGAAATGCTAACTACAGACTTCATCAGATGTGCAACATTCTATTTTGCTGGATTATATTCTAAGTCAAAGATTTATTTCCACATAATGCAGTGTTTGTACAGAGATGGGTGACATTGGTTGTGCATGGATAAAGCCTGTGGTTATATTACATGCAGAAAGCCCATGGTTATATTACATACAGAAAGGCCATGGTTATGGACTTTCTATATGTAATATGTAAATGAAATAAGCTACTGACGCCACTAAAAAAGCCATACCACGGGCGAGGATAGAACCCACAATCAGAGAGTCGTAAAACTTATCTCATACCATGCTGAAGCCACTGCTAGCCACCATTGGCCACCACCAGCAGCTTCCTCCCATCAACTGTTTAATTGTTCAGAAAGCCTTTGTTTAGAGAGTTTTCTGTTTCATTCACTTAACAATTATTACAAAGTATAATTATGACACGCACAACTATAAGCCTCGTACATGATAAATCATAAGAGTTTGTTGTTATTAGTACAACTGTTTGCATCTCTTTCTTTTTCTTGTGAATCAATTAGATTTTCATGGTCACTATTTTTAGACAGATCAGAACTTCAAACAGCCTCCTTTTCCAATCAAGCCGAACTTATGGTGTTCCACTAGTAATAATATATGCATAATGTGTCCTGGATGGTACACAAGCACGTGTACTGTAAGCATAATGTTATCAGTATTTGCTTATAACTACCCATACTTATAATTGAAGTTGGTGCTGTAGATGCATAATTCCTGCCTTTAATTAATAAGCTTCTAGTATAAGGTCTGTAGTATATAGAAAATATTTGAGCTTATACAAACTGTGTCCTTGTCTATTTTAGTACAAGTTTTGTTTTACTACCATACAGTAACAGGTGGATATAAACAATGGATTCTTTTTGGTAAGTGCTCTTATAAAGTACAATTGTTACACAAACTTTTTTACCTCAAGAACTGGCAAGTCTTCATTATGAATTTATGTACTGTACGAGACAACAATACTTGAAGAGTGCTCTAGGAAACGTGTGTATAAAATTTAAATATGCAGTACTCGTTCCTGCCATGCACATAATTTGTTACTTTATGGAAGTTGATAAATCAAACTAAGAAATGTAAAGATTAATGGAGGGGAAGTATGTACAGTAAACCCTCTTATAACATGACATCACATAGTACGATTTTGTGTATATGTGATTAAAACAGTGTATCCAAAATTTCATTGCTCACTTTAAAAGAGCTTTGGTATATATTAGTGTCATAAATCTAAAAACAAGTATTGTAATTCCATTAGGTTCCTCCATAGAATTTCTCAGTTTGATGAGTACCTTCCATTCCTCTTACTCTCCCACTGTTCTTGATAAGCAAGTGATGCCCACTTGACAATTTTTAATACAATTAAGGTTTTCCCAAAATTTATATAACTTATGATTGCTTAATTTATATAAAACACCTGTATAAAATGATCGAAGAGAATATTCATTATGCATTAATACCACGAATTAAAAAAAGATCAATATCTTCATTATTATAATTACACTAATTACACATTCACATGCTATCTGATGTACCTATTCTAGCTTTATTGTTACAATTGATGAACATTTTTATTGATTGAAAAAAGTGTGAATAAGTGTTTAAACAAGAAAGTTAATTTGACCGAATTGCTGTGCATACAGTACTACGGACTTCTTGCGATGTGTGTGTCACCTGTATGCTTTTTATAAAAAAAAATTATTATTATTTTATCAATATTGCTGTGAGCCAAAGCCAGAGTTAACCGCTCTCTCCACATATCTGGGGCACAGCTTCTCACAACATATTACTTTTCTTATTGACTCTCGTTAGTTTTTCAGATGCATTGATCTTTAGTATGTTTGTTTGGTATAGGTGTGCTAAGTTCTTATTTGTTTGCTACAGTTTGATAAGGAAATGTGGCTGTTATTTTTGTGATGTAAACATGTCCTTAGTTTGTGTCAGCTGATAAACTCCTCTACATCCAACTTAGCCCAGTAGACCCACATTGCCCTTCCCAACACCTTTCAGTGCTTCAAATAACTACTAACAGAATATAAGATAAATAATATTGTAGAAATTTTTACCTTGTATGATAGTAAAACTAAAAATTTAATTGTCACATTTGGAGGTGCTTGGAATATAACATCTTTTTTTTCATGTTCTTCACTTTACAAAACACTGGTTTTCATAAGGTGCAGATTTTCAGGAACATAAGCTGCTTGTTACAAGAGGGTTTACTAATATGCAAAATACATTTTATATAATGTAATGTAAATGTAGAGTATTGGAGACAGAGTGCAAGAAATTCTCATCTTGAATTCATGTTTTTATTCATAATTTGATTATTCTGAAGCAAATGAAGTTTGATCCTCCCATTTACTGACTCCCCACCCTCCCTGACAAGAGCTGTGTGTATGACTACCTGACCACATCAGGTGCCTTTGTTTTTTATACAGTAAGTACTAGTACATCAAGATGTTTGTTTTTAGACCAAGTTATTCCCTCTAGTACAGTATATCTAAATACTGTGTTATTTTCTAGTTGGATTTTCTTAGAAAAACACACTTTATATTTGTATGTATGAGGAGAGAGTAGAGTATGTAAGGAACAGTATATTGTATTTTATATTATACTGTGCTTTAAAGTTTTGTATGACATTATTTGAGTACAGGCTGCTAATTATTTAAATATATGAATTGAAACTGTTGCATATAAAAATAAAAGCTAAGCTAATATTTTTATATGCAAAATGCAGCTTTGAGACCTTATGGATTCATAATCTTTCTAATGTAAACATGATACTTCTATTATAGTAATATATTGCTGTTTATCTAAACAATCTGTGTTCATCTTGTCCATGGTCCTTTCTTTGTGTGTGTTTATTAACCATATAACTTAAATCCGTGAATGCTGGGTCAGTAGCAATGAATATAGGACAGGGTTTTTGTAGGCTATACAGTAATAGTTACCACAGAAAATAAATGTAGACGAAGAAAAAATGCACAAGCCTTTATTTGGACAGTGTTTCACTCCAGCTTCTTTAAGCCCTGCTTAAAGCAAAATGCCTGAGTGATGGCTTGTTCTGCATATTTGTGCCATTGTTTCCACTCCTATCATTATTACACCCCTCATGCCACAGTAATGGCTAGGTGGTGCTTGCTTTCATACATGCTAATGCCAAGGTTATATTAATTCTGTTTTTAATTAGATTACGTGAAGGCAAACTGACATTTGCATGACTAGGGAAGTCTGGACCATAGACATCATTGTTTATCTGGAGAGAGTTCCGGGGGTCAACGCCCCCGCGGCCCGGTCTGTGACCAGGCCTCCTTAGGTCAGTGTCCCAGGATGCGACCCACACCAGTCGACTAACAGACTAACACCCAGGTACCCATTTTACTGATGGGGAACATAGACAACAGGTGGAAAGAAACACGTCCAATGTTTCTACTCTGGCTGGGAATCGAACCCAGGCCCTCACCGTGTGAAGTGAGAGCGTTAACCACCAGGATGGCATGCACAATTTCTTCCCAATAATGATATCCCAGTACATAAACTATTATTCTACACTATTACTCCTTCAATCCACATACTCTCTCCCTGTATAGCCTTAAGACTAAATATTTCAGAGTGTTTGCTGTTTTGGTTAACCAGTATGTATTATAGTTTAGTAAATCACATATCGCCTTACTGGAGTAACACTTAACACGGTCATAATGCTTAGGGTTTAAACTTAACAATCCAGGTATTAATAGTGTTGCATCGTTAAAAATGTGAGTACTAAATGTGTTACTCTATGATGATTGATGTTCAGATGCTGAGGGTAGTGATAATTTATTATATTGTATTTGTTTTATTCTTTGGTACCAGTACTTGCCTTAGATGTTAACATACTGTAGCCCTTTGAAAATCTGACAATATAAGATAAACTAATAGCCGTTTTCTGTCTTTACAGTATTCACACTCTACCCCTCTTATTATAGAAACAGTGACTTGCTTTTCCATTTTGTCTTTGTTCTTCCCTCTTCTGTGCTTATTTTAATGTATTTTTTTCCTGTTTTGCCTGAGGTAATATTCAACCTTTCTAATTTTTTGTGTATCACCAAGAGCTATTGGTGATTGGTTTATTCCTTTTCTTCGATCAAACTTGATTAACTCATTCCTCAGGCATTTTATGGCCATTATGGTGTTTAGTGCTTCCGCATAAGTATGATAATGCTGGTGGCTATTATATTAATGTACCATTATAGCTTCACAAGCATGAGTCATTTAAGAATTACTGAAGTTGTAATGTACTTTTATTACTCTTGACATATCAGGGGAAAATTATGCAAAACTCCAACCTGTTCAGGAAGAATTGTCTTATTATAGTACCGTATTGCCTTCTATAGTAATTTGTGTATCATAACGCTATTAAAGAAATAAAATTTTAATGCAAATCATTCACTAATTTTATTATCCAGACAAAATTATATGTACAGTACCTTAATGATACAAAAATCATTATTCTTTTAATTTCTAGTAGAGCCAATTCAAGGAGGGGTACCTTTCTGGGCAAAGAGGCTCTTGCTCTGATGAAATGTGCCTTGTCCACTTCCTTAGATTTAATTTAGATATCCCCCCCTCCCCTCATAATATTAGCCTCAAAAGTGGAAAAATTTTCCTCTTTCATAAAACTCAGCTCCTAGATAGGAAAAAAAGGACCACTATCAGTCCTGTTCTAACATAGCATCTGTTGGTAGTGCTGTGGTGGTCATGTCACCCATCACAGTGGAAATTAGATCATTTAATTAAGGGCATATCAGGTGACCCTCCAGTGAGACAACTGGTGGCCATTGGCAGTTACTTCTACCACCATAAATAGTTGAAAGACAATTGTATGGTCAGTGCTCTTGTCTAATCAGGTAGTTTTGCTACCTCTGTGCGATCGCTCACCGTGTCCTCCGTGACGCTAAAGCATTTTGCGGGGCGAGTTGTCCCCACCATCACCTTGTTTCCCTTAGAGTGCAGTCTGGAAAAAGTACGAAAACGAGTGGAAATTTTCTCTGCCCCGGCCCCTGTTCTGCGGGTTCCCGGGGTGTTGATATAGCAACCCACTAGTGTTGCCAATGAAATTGGAAATCTCGGCCGTATTTTCAGGGACCCCTCTTGCCTCTGTTTTTTTCCTAAAAGTTGCGAGGGGGGTTAGCACCCTTGGACTTTTCTTCTCTCGAAAAAAATAGTTAATGTGCTTTTACACTTCAAGAACTGGAGGCAACACACTCAGCTCCGTCATCGGCGTGGGCCCGAGACATTCACATTGTATGCTACAACATTTACATCAGTCAGCCCTTGCGTCCATTTGCCTTCACAATCTTATTTGGCACAAGGAGTTCTTCCACACTGTGGAAATTGCCTTTGTTCTCCCTTTCCGCAAACCAGGACTACGGGACATGAAGCCTCCCACTACGTCCCTTGCTCTTCCCAGTCAGTTGAAAAAGTGATGAAGCCGGGAAAAATGATGTTTAGTGGGGTTTTTAGAGGAAAGTCTCTCCACTCGTAAATAGGCTTTGTAAGGGAGTTTACCATAAACCCCCTTTACTGCTTGGTACGTATGTTCGAAATTTGCCCTTTGCGAAAAAACCACTCGTTTTTGCCAAAAGTTTTGACTTGAGAAGGCATATGACACAATTTGGAGGTATAATATTTTAGCCCAAGCCACTCTTAGGCCTTCGAGGCAATTCCCTCCTTTCCCTTAAGAACTTTTTTTAAATGAAGCATTTCCGTGTTGGGTTAATAATGTGCTCACCCAGATTTTATCCAAGTGAAGGTGTCCCCAGGATGTGTTCTGAGAAGCACTTTTTCTCCCTTTCTTTTAAAGATTTGGCCTTATCTTCCATCAAAATATTTGGTCATCACTCTATTTGATGCCCCTGTTTGCTCCGTCCCTTTTCTCTTGCACATTCACTCTTGTCTTCCCCTTCAGTTTCCACCCTTTTTATGTTCATGTAGATCTCACTTTTTCCCCCCCCCCCGGGAAGTTCCGTGTTCGGGTCTGCTCTTTCTCACTCCCTTGCTCGAAAGTCAACTGCCTACGGTGGTTCCCGCTCTCTTTTTTTGTCATTTCCCCTCCCCTTTCGCCACCCCTGGACAAAGATGGCTTTTTAAGTCTTCAGCGGGGGGATTCGAGCAGTGTTTCCGGACGCGTCGTGCGGGGGGCATTTCTTTCTTCAGCTAGCATTTTTATGCTGAACTGTATGCCCTTCTTACAGCACTTATTGTACAATCAGCCTGTGTCACATTTTTAGTAGTCTCTAGAGACTCCCTTAGTGCTCTACAGGCTATAGAAAAATTTTATAATTCATCCCCCAGTTCTCCCTATCCAACTTTGGCTACGCCCACTTACCAACTAAAGATATTTTTTTTTGTTGGGTCCCTGGTTTGTCGACTACAGGGAAAGAAAGGCAGACATGCTGCGGGGAGCAGTACCCTGACCCCACCAAATTTCTACGAGGTGTTCCATTTTGGGCTTTTTTTGCAATAGTACCCACCTTCGACCCGTTGGCAAAAAAACGTTTGGGCAACTTGCTCGGTAACAAACTTCATTCTATTAAACCGAGAAGGTTACTGGCCCTCTTCTTGTCATCAGTGCCGAGGTTGGGAAACCACTCTCTCCTGCCTTCGCATTGGCCACACTCGTCTTACTCATGGGTATCTCATGGAGAGGCACCCTGTTCCGCTCTGTGAGCAGTGTCAAGTTCCAGTATCGATTAGCCACATTCTGTTAGACTGCCCTCTCTATCAACGAGCACGCGAAATTTACCTCCAACGTCGTCTTCATTCTACTACTCTCTCTTTACCTTCCCTTCTTGCTGATGGACCCTCCTTTAATCCTGACTCTCTCATTGACTTCTTGACAACGACTGATTTACTCCACAAACTCTGATGATACTTTTCGCACTCCCCTCAGCCCTTTCTAGTTCAGTCTCTTGCTGCCCTTCACCCTTTCACCATCCACTACCCCGCTGTTATCCGTAACCTATTACTCGTCCATCTCCCTTTTGCCACCTGATGCCCTCGCTTCCTTCCTGCCCTGCAGCGCTGTATAGTCCTTGTGGCTTAGCGCTTCTTTTTGATTATAATAATAATCTATGTTGATGACTTCGCTATTGCCTGTGCAGGCACTGACTGTCACCTCATTACAGTTTCTCTCCAGCATGTGGTCAACCGTGTTTCCAATTGGGCCACCGCACATGGGTTTAAATTTTCCAGCACTAAAACCCACCAAATTACTTTCACTAGACGCTCTGTCATCTCCGATCATCCTTTGTACCTCTATGGCTCCCGTATCCCTGAACGTGATACAGTCAAGTTTCTGGGCCTCCTCTTTGACCGTAGGTTATCCTGGAAACCTCGCATTACCTCTCTGAAGGCAACTTGTCACAGCTGGCTGAACCTTCTTAAAACCCTTGCTCATCTTTCATGGGGAGCTGACCGTCGAACCCTCCTCCGCCTACATTCCACCCTCATTTTATCGAAACTTGATTATGGTGACCAGATCTATTCAGCAGCATCTGCTACTCTCTCTAGTCTTAACCCCATTCATCACCAAGGATTACGTTTATGCCTTGGTGCTTTTCGCTCTTCCCCTGTCGAGAGCCTCTATGCAGAAGCGAACGTTCCATCCTTATCCGATCGCCGTGATGCCCATTGCCTTCGCTACTATGTACGCTCTCATGATCTCCGCAATCCTTCCATTTATAGAATGGTCACTGATATTAGTAGACATTATTTGCTCGCCGCCCCTGTTTACTCCGTCCCTTCTCTCTTCGCCTTCATTTGCTCTTGTCTTCTCTTCAATTACCACCTTTCTATGTTCATGTAGCATCTCACTTTTCCCTACCCCCCTGGGAAGTTCCAGCTGTTAGAGTCTGTTCTTTCTCTCTCCCTTGCTCGATAGCCCAACTGTCTATGGTTGCTTCCCACTCTCTCTTTCTTGACCACTTTCACTCTCATTCTCATGCCATTGCTGTGTACACAGATGGCTCTAAGTCTTCTGACGGCATAGGATTCGCAGCAGTGTTCCTGGACAGCATCGTACGAGGGCATTTACTATCTTCGGCTAGTATTTTTACTGCTGAATTGTATGCCATCCTTGCAGCACTTACCTGTATTGCATCTATGCCTGTGTCATCATTTGTGGTTGTTTCAGACTCCCTTAGTGCTTTACAGGCTATACAGAAATTTGATACACCTCACCCCTTAGTCCTCCGTATCCAACTTTGGCTACGCCGCATCTTTACCAAGCATAAAGATATTGTTTTTTGTTGGGTCCCTGGTCATGTTGATGTACAGGGCAATGAACAGGCAGACACTGTTGCGCGGTAAGCAGTACATGACCTACCAGTTTCATATAGAGGTATTCCATTTATGGACTATTTTGCTGCAATATCTTCCCACCTTCACACCCGTTGGCAACAACGTTGGTCTACTATGCTCGGCAACAAGCTTCAATCTATCAAACCGAGTATAGGTTACTGGCCATCTTGTTATCACCAGTGTCGAGGTTGGGAGACTACTCTCTCCCATCTTCGCATTGGCCATACTCGTCTTACTCATGGATATCTCATGGAGAGGTGCCCTGCTCCTCTCTCTGAGAATTGCCAAGCTCCATTATCAGTCAGCCACATTCTGTTGGACTGCCCACTTTATCAACGAGCACGCAAAATTTACCTCCGTCGTCGTCTTCGCTCCGCTGCTCTCTCTTTACCTTCCCTTCTCGCTGACGGACCCACCTTTCATCCGGACTCTCTCATTGACTTTTTGACAACAACTGACTTACTTCACAAATTCTGATACCTTCAGCCCTTTCTACTTCAATCTCTTGCTACCCTCTACCCCCGTACTATCCCCTGCCCTGCTGTTTTCTGTAACCTACTGATCATCCCTCCTCCCTTCTGCCACCCAATACCCTCGCTTCCTTCCCTACCCTGCAGCGCTGTATAGCCCTTGTGGTTTAGCGCTTCTTTTTTATTATTATAATAATTTGCTACCTCTGTCTCAAGTCAATTCTAGATGTGCCATACTGGTGTTGTGCACTTGATAGATAACAGGTGGTTTCCAGGGAACAACTGCAATACCTGTCACAACGAAGATTTTTCATTTATTCTTGGAATTGACTTTTTTTTCTTGATCCCATTTAATCAGGTATTCAACCTACACTTAACTCCTATTACTCAACTCTTATAAACCTATTATGAGTGGTGTGCCACTGGGGTCAATGTTGGGACCTTTGTTCACATTCTACATAGACAAAAAGGAAATAACTAGGGCACATAAACTAAACAGTGTAGAAACTCGTTAAAGACGTGTATTCAACATTTGATCTTCATTGTGAAAGTGTTTTGCCAGCCAGTGGCTTCATCAGTCCAGTACACTGAATGATGAGAAGGAGTTTGAGATA